CAGGGGCCGCCCCTCAGGCCGCTGCCGCCGCGTCCCCGCCCGCCTCCCCGGCCCCCGCCTCTTCCCCCGGCTTCTACCGGGGCGCGTACCCGGCCCCCTCGGACTTCGGCGTGCACTGCAGCAGCCAGACCACCGTGCTGGACCTGGACACTCACGTGGTGACCACGGTGGAAAACGGCTACTTGCACCAGGACTGCTGCGCCTCCGCCCACTGCCTCTGCTGTGGCCAGGGCGCTCCGGGACCGGGCCTGGCGTCCGCCGCCGGCTGCAAGCGCAAGTATTACCCCGGCCAGGAAGAGGACGACGACGACGAGGAGGACGCGGGCGACCTGGGGGCCGAGCCCCCCGGGGGCGCCCCGTTCGCCCCCTGCAAGCGCGCCCGCTTCGAGGACTTCTGCCCGGACTCGTCCCCGGACGCGTCCAACATCTCAAACTTGATCTCCATCTTTGGCTCGGGCTTCTCGGGGTTGGTGAGCCGACAGCCGGACTCCTCGGAGCAGCCGCCGCCGCTCAACGGGCAGCTGTGCGCCAAGCAGGCGCTCGCCAGCCTCGGCGCCTGGACTCGAGCCATTGTCGCCTTCTAGGGACCCCCGAGGGCACGGGGACCCGGGGCCCCGCGGGGCTGGGGCCAGACAAAGACTCGGCCAAGGGGCGAGAGGAGGGAACGAACGGGCGCCCAGCCACTCGGGGCTGAGCCGGGGGCGAGCAGGGGGAGGCGGCTGGTGTTTTATAAATTGTAAAATAAAAAAAAAGAAATCTAAGATCTTGGACTTTATTTTTGCAGAGAGAAAAAGCGCCTATTTAAGTATGCTTTGTGTTTCTCTTACTCTTTTTTTCTTTTTATTGTAGTGATTGCAGTGGTGTTTAGCGAGGAGCCAGCCACGTGAGGGAGGGCTGCTGCCCGGAGGAGGTGCCGGGCAGCTGGGGGCGAGGGAGGGCGCCTGGGCCACCGGGGCGCGCCGGAGGCGCAGCGCAGGAGGGCGCCGGGCCCGGGACGCCGATTCCAATCAGTTGTCAGACCCAGGAAGCCCGGCGCTCGGTTCTCCCGACTCCCTCCGTGGGGTGAGGAACGGGTCTTGTGAAATCCTGAGCAAAAACAAAGGCAAACTCTATCTTCGAAAGGGACATTGGGGTCGCATTTCCTCTCTGGGGGCGGCCTCCAAAGTTCTCAAAATGAGAAGGCAGAAATGAAAACAGTTCAACTTTTTTTTCTTTTCTTCCCGGGGCGGGTGGCTTGAACCCCTCCTCTCCCCGCCCCTCTGGCTCCGTTCTCCTCCCCTCCTCCACCCATCTCCCGGATTCGGGGGTGGCGCCCGACGCCCCGACACTCGGACACTGTTTGGGGAAGGGGTGGGGGGCGGGCACGGCGGACTACATTTCCCATCATGCCCAGCACTGCGGTCCTCACTAAACAAAAAAGGAAGTCGATTCCTTCACCTGGACACCCGGCGGCCCCAAGGGAGGGGCCGGGACCGCCAACTGCGTTGGAGACTTTTCACTAAGTTCCTGGTCAGATGTAGTGTTTGTGTGTGTGCTAAGTTGCACAGTCCTGGTTCAGCCTTCGGCTGTATTTCATGAAACCAGCATTGTTCGAGCCTTCGAGAACCCCGTCCTGTGTCTTCAGCTCGATAGATTTTGTTTAATTTAAAGCCTTTTGTTGTAAAAAGATGGGGTTCGTCCGCAGCCCCTCTGGTTCTCTGCCATCAGCACCATGTGGACTCCAAAACAAGTTGCCAACCTTCCCTTTCTTGGTACTCTCCGTCATTCTGTATTTTTGTGCATACTGAATTGTATATCACCGGGTAAAACTGTTCAGATTATTTGTTTAAATTTATAATCTTAATAAAAAGTCCATTATAGAGGATGGTGGTGCCTGGTTTTCAAGTCGGCCTGGAGGTGGCGGGAAGGTAGAGGGAGGTGGGAAGAGACCCCTACCCGCATTCAAACCCCAGCTTTCCTGGGCCTGGGAGAGCGGGATCTGCCCACATCCGCAGGGCCGGGGGTGGCAGCGGGATTGGGGAGGGGATGTTGGTTGCTGGGGATGAAGCCAGTGCTGCGCGCCTCCCGGGCCCCCTTCCCCAGAGGGGCGGGCTCTCCACGGGAACCGTCCGCCCCCGGGGTCTCCAGCAGGAAGCCGAGCCCGCCTCCAGCATATTTCCTGCTCAGCCAGGGGTGCAGGGCCTGGTCGGCCTCAAGTCTGAGCTCTCTGCGGCGGGGAAAGCAGCCGGGGGACGCTGGGGGCTTCTGGGCCACCCACACTCCCCGCCCCGCACGTCCGCACGTCTCAGGCTGCAACTTGGGGAAGTTTTTTCCTTTTCCTTTTTTTTTTTTTTTTTTTTTGTTGAGTTTGTTAGCACTACCCGGTGCCACTTTTTGATTTTCTGGCTTCCTCTCCCACCCTCCTCGCGCCCCTCCCCTCTCCCTCTCCCCTCCCTCCCGCCCGCCTCTCTTCCCTCCCCAGTGGATGGAGGCAGGAAGGCTCCAGGCGCGCTCTCCCCTCTGACCACCTACGGAATGACCTCAGAGTGGGAGAATGTGCCAAGGCCCGGAGGAAGCTCGTGTTCTCCCCACTGGAACCAAATTCACATCTGGAGCCGCGGCTCGGGCCTGGGGGCGCGCGGGTGGTTCCAGCTTTGCAAGGAGAGGATAGGAAAGAAAGACTGAGGGGAAAAAAAAAAAAAAAAAAGCCAAGTGGCAGCTTGCTCTCTGTTTGTTTGATAATGTCTCTCTCTCGGTGTCTCTCTGTCTCTGGCTGTCTCCCCAAAGCTCTCTCCCTCGCTTTCTCGCCCCTGCGCTCCCCTTTCCCGCGCCAGCCACCCCGCTGGACGACTCACGCCTCCCACCCCAGCCTTCACGCCTCCCGCAGCGAGAGGAGGGGCTGTCGCCGAGAGGCCCCCACCCCAGACTCGGAGAGGCGGACGCAAGCCAGTCCCAGGGGCCCGCTCGGCTCTGAGTCCCGGTGCCGCGCGAGGAGAAGTTCTCGGGGACACTCCCGAGAGCGGGGGGCGGCGAAGGTCTGCGATGGGGGCGGGGGAAGAGGGAGGTTATGGAGGCGTGAGTTACCGGGAGGAAAGGCACCTTCACCCCCTAGGGCTGTTTTCTCGGCCTCCCACGGGAAGAGTCTGGAGCAGCTGAGGAGGAGGAACGCTGTGTCCCCCCATCCCCATTTTTTGCCTACAAGTCCACCGAGTCGCTGTTTGATGCACGGTTTTGATTCAATCCACCAAGCCAGTTGCCAGAGCTCCCCCTAGCGCCGCTGCCAGGGCGCTGCAGCGGCTGCGGCTGGTAGTGGGCGAGGCACAGCCGGGGGCGGCGGGGCTGCTGGGGGCCGCTCCGCGTCCACCTGGGGCGCAGCGCCGAGGCGGGATCCAGCCCCGGCTGGAGCGAGAGCCGGGGGCAGCGTGCGTCCCCACTCCAGGCCCGTGTCGAGGAGGGCACGTGCCAGGCCGCCTTTGTTGGGAGCGCGGACCTGAGCGCGGAACCTGCTTGGGAACCCCCCTACCCGTCCCCCGGATCCCTACAGCAAAGGAGTGTGGGTGGTGGGCTGCGAAATAGGAGCTCTGAGCCCAACAGGACCCCGCACCAGGGTTCTCCTCCCTTCTGCCAGGTTTCCTGAGCTTCAGCTGCGCCGATAGCCTCAGGCACACTGGGATCTAGTGAAACCAAGAGATGGGGATGGAGGGCTCTGGGAACACCCAGAAGAGAGGTACCCCCCCTTATCTTTTCAGGGCCCAGGGCTGCTACACAAAAGGTTAATGCCCTGAGGATAATGCGCGGTGACCCAAAACACAGCCCACTGGTGATCTACATCTCACATTAAGACATGCCACACACGACAGTAACACAAGCAAGGCTGTGGTATCATGCTGCACAGCACGCTGAGGGCCACACCTGGCTGAGGGACTGTCCCCAACACAAGACACTCTAAATAGCATCCTCACTCCACTCAACCCCCAGAGGACTGGCACAGCACGCAGTATGCCCACCCAGAACATCCTGAGACAATACTCCCAGGCGTAGCACAGCTGAAAGGCTTGGGGGGTGGGGGAGCATATGAGGGTCCTCAGAAAGAGGGGAGGAGACAGGCAGGCAAACCAGGAGTCTACAGACCCAGGTCCAAAGACAAGCCCCTCTCTCTCCCATAAAAAGACCAAGCCAGACCCCACAAGAGCCCCCAGGTAGGTCTTGGGGGTGCTTCTTGGGGAGGTAGAGAGATTGAGGGGCCGAGGGAATGATGAGGGGGAGCTTCCAGAGAACAGCAGCTCTGGAAGCAAGAGCTCCAGCAAGTCCCTCGTCCCCCCAGGTTAACCAGCACACACACACACACACACACACACACACACACAGACATACACTCTCTCTCTCTCTCTCTCTCTCTCTCTCTCTCTCTCTCTTCCCCCAGCTCATAGAACATCACAGGTCCCGCTGCCCTTGATACGTGGTGTAGGGCTGAGGCAGGCTCCAAGGTGCGCTCCCAGCAACGTGGAGCTGCTGGGGTGATAGCACAGAGCCTCAGAGAGCTGCAGGCTGCCCTCCAGAGGAGCCAGAGGCTGGGGATGCCCAGGAGGGCCACTGTGCAGGGTGCTGAGATCTGAGTGCCTCTGTGATGCACTCTGGTGCATGTATGTGTGTGTGGATGTGGATATCCCTCTGGCACAGGGCGTGCACAGGAGGAGCTGTGTCTTTCCGGATCTCCATTCACTGGACACACATTTACAGACCGCCCATTTGGTGCCTAGCCTGTGCAAAGCACTGAGCTGACCCCTGTGAAAAATAATAGCAAATCCCTCTATATGGATTCACTCATTTAATTTTCCCAGCTACTCTTTGAAATTGATACTATTAGCATTCTTGTTTTAGAAATGAGAAAACTTGCCCGAAGTCACACAACTAAGCAGTGGCCAGTTCTCCTGTTGGAGTTCACAGGCTAGTGGGGAAGAATTGATAACAGGTTACAATGCAAGCAGGCAAATGACCCTGATGTTGTCTAAATAATAATGTTAGGTTCCAGCTGAGCCTAAACTGGGTTCTGGGATTTGGTTAGCCTGAACTAGCTGGTTGGGAGCACACGCGTGCACACACACACACACACACACACACACCCCAATGCTTCGTGCTCTAGGTCCCAGGGACGAGGGATGAAGAGACACACAGGACAGTGATGTCTATGTCCCGCCCCACCCAGCATGTTTTCCTGGTATTTGTCAGGACTCTTATGGTAGGGGACAGCAACCCAACTGGAACTAGCTTGGGCCAAAGGTGGGATTTCCTGGCTCCTGGCACTAACCTGTGCAGTGGGCGTTGTGCATCTGGCTTCAGGTACAACTGGATGCCGGGACAAATCTCCAGGATGCTCTCTCTCTTTCTTTGTCTCCTGTGACTTCCTTCTCTGCACGTGGGCTCCCCTCTCCTGTTGCAGACTCACTTCTCGCTACAGCCGTAGGAGGCAGCTCCCGGCTTCCCATTTCACAGCTTTGCCGCCCAAGAGGGACTGTCCTCTTCTCTTATTTTCAACTCAGAAAATCTTAGGGAAGGACTCTGTCCTGTCCCAAACCTGTGGCCAGGGTTGGAGAGTGGTTGGTAGCCCCCCACTAGAAGCTTATGGGCAGAGAAGAGGTGCTCTTCTCAGGAAAGGGTGGTAATGGGTGACAGGCCAAAGATGTCCTCCAGAAAGAGGGGCTGCAGCCAAGCTAAATGAGCCGTCTGCCCATGGGGCTGGGGGAGACCCAGGGCACAGGCATGGCGGCTTCAAGGCCTGGGTGATTATGAGCAGCCAACACAGCTGTGGGGAAGAAACATTCTCCTTGCTCCCAGCCAGGATAATGAGGCTCCAGGGCTATCTGGTGCCTCCCAGGTTTGCCACTCGGACATCTCTAGGGTGGGGCAGGGGGCCAGATTCTCCCAGCAGGCTCCCCGGCAGAGACAGTGCCAGGGGCCACTCTCAGGGGACTTAGAGCAGTGGACATCCTCAGGGAGGCCGAAGGGGAGGAACTTGGCCGGAGCTCCTATGTGGCTCCTCCAGGCACCCCCAGATATGACTCAAAGGCTTTCGAGCGGAGGCCGAGGTGCTGGCCAGTGGGGTGGAGGTAGAGGGGCCACGCTGAGGG